CAGGTTCTAGTCAGTGCTGCACTGATGCACTTCCTGTCTGCAGGTTCATTCCGGGTCGGCCCGGTTCGGCCCGGTTGGGTCCTCCTGCGTCACGCGGTTCTTCTGCTTCCTCTTTCTGTTTTTGTTCCCATCAAACATCTGATCTGTGATGGAGAACAAAGTTCAGCTTGAAAACACAAACAGGAAGTGAACCAAGCAGCCTGAGGCGTTGCATCACTTCCTGCTGATGATCACAGACTCTGAGACTTTCATCAGTTTATTCTCAGTCAACAACACAGAAATATGTACAGGATGTTTACAGCAGCAAAGAACCGGGCCGGTCTGGTTCTGGTAGCATGTTAGCATGAGTTAGCGGTTCAGAAAAACACAAAGTCATAAGACACAAACTTTGTCTCAGTTTGGTCACGTGACCAGACGTCACGCGTTCTGCTCATCATGAAGCTTCACAAAAGTTCCTGAGAAAATCCCCCAAAACTCTGAAACCCCCAAAACAAGGACAGCGACTCTTCACAGCTTCTGGTTCTGGGGATTCGAGTTGGAGTCTGGACCGAACCGAACCGACACCTTCCAGGCAAAGCAGGAAGGTCATGAAGTCCAGCAGCCGCTCCAGGTGTCTGTGGCGGTTCTGGTTCTGTTGGGTCGCTGCAGCTCTTCCAGTGTGAACTTTGTGGTTAGGGTCGGGGTCAGGGTTGTGGTTGGGGTTGGGGTCAGGGTAGTGGATGCCTGAAATGAAGCAGGTGCGTCTCGGTTGAAGCTAAGAAACGGACGTCTCTCCTACAGCGACAGGGCCTGCGACGTGTCGCTGTCCGACATGACGGTGACGCGGGTGGAGCTGAGGGGGCTCCTGCTCTTCCCCAGGGGCGTCTTGCTGGGCCGCCCCAGGCAGCAGCGCAGCAGCCGCGCGATGTCCCGGCGGAAGCGCACGCCCACAAACACGTAGAGGAAGGGGTTGAGGCAGGCGTGCATGTAGGCCAGACTCTTCAGCACCTGGCCGGCCTTGTCCAGGGCCTTGACCTGCTCGCAGTCCGTCAGCGTCATGTTGGACGCCTGCGTGGCCTCCATCACCAGCATGCTGTTGTAGGGCAGCTGCGACACGATGAACACCGCCACCACCGCCAGGATCACCCGCATGGCCTTGTGCTTCTCGAAGTTTCGGGTGGTGAAGAGCTTGGCGATGATGACGCTGTAGCAGAAGCCCATGACGATGAAGGGCACGAAGAAGCCATGCTGACCTGCAGGGACAGGACCAGGATCTTGGTGCGGTTGCCCATGTCGGGCGGGTAAACCATTCTGCAGTAGGGAGAGGATCCGGCGGCGGCGGGCGCGGCGAAGGCCAGTTCTGGCGTGGCGAGCAGAAGGGCCAGCAGCCAGACGGCGGCGCACACCACGCGGCTGCAGCGCCGCCGCTCCAGCTGGGAGTTCTGGGCCTTGGTGGTCTGCACGATGACGATGTAGCGGTCCACGCTGATGCAGGTGAGCAGCAGGATGCTGCTGAACAGGTTGACCTTGTAGAGGGCGGAGTTGATCTTGCACATCGCGCGGCCGAAGATCCAGCCGTGCGACGCCTCGGTGGCCCACAGCGGCAGCGTCACCAGGAACAGCAGGTCGGCCACCGCCAGGTTCAGCAGGTACACGTCCGTCATGGTCTTCAGCCGCTTCCGGAGCTCAGGTAGATCCAGACCACGGCCAGGTTGCCGGCTCCGCCCACCAGGGTGATGATCCAGAAGAACGGCGGCTCGTAGCGGCTGCGGAACTCGCGCACCTGCTGCCGGTCGCACAGCAGGTCGGTGAAGTTCTCGCTCTCGTAGTCGTAGTAATCCTCGGTGCTGATGGAGGGAACCTGGCAGGGGACGAGACGCACCTGAGTTCACCTGACACGCGTCAGCGTGGAAATGAACGCCGTCAATACTCACCTCTGTCGTCATTACTGTCATGATGTCATCCATGGAGGTCATGTTTACGGTGATGAGGTCATCCATCTGGAAACAGCCATGTTTACTGCTGTGTGCATCATTTCTGCTGCAACTCTTTCAAAACTCATGTTTACTGCTGCCATGACATCATTTCTCACAGTAAAACTTTGTTTGCGTTAAAACATTGCATTCATGACACCAAACATTTCATGGCTCTGGACCAGAACACGAGACGACAGTCAAGTTTAACCCAATGTACCAACTGACTGAGGTTAAAAGCTGTGACCTTTGACCTGCCAGCAGCAGCATAAAACACAACAACAGCAGAATAAGCAGGAGGCAGTGAGCTGATAAAGCTGACTTCAGAGTTTGAAGACACATTGAAATGTTTCAGGTTCTAGAAAAACTTTCTACACATTCAGCCTCATTTCTCTCATTTCTTGCTTTGTGATGAAGTGATGAGCGAAACCCGGATGGACAGACGGACGGATGGACAGACGGACGGATGGACGGTGTGGACTCACCATGCTCGCTCCTCTGCTCTGCAGATTCTGACTGTTTGCTTCTCTTCTCACTTTCTGTCCGTTAAACCACAGCGTGACGCACAAGAGGAAGGAGCGACGCGGCGTCATGCCAGCTGGGGGAGGAGCCAACTGTCACCAGCAAAAACCAGTCGCCAATAATCAATCAGTGCTCATCTCAATCTTCATCTAACATGTTGATCAATTCATGGTTCTGATGGAGAACCAGAACCAGCAGAATGATCCAGCAGCAGCAGATCTGGAATCTGTTCAGAGTTTTAGAAATTAAACTTTAAACTGTAGAACCGGGCCGTGTAGAACTGGGCCGTGTAGAACCGGGCCGTGTAGAACCGGGCCGCGTCTCTGTCCTCCTGGTTCTGGTCAGAACTCCAGCTGCAGGTTCTGGTTTGTCATCAGATCCTGCAGGAATCAAAGTTTCTCTGATGAGAGATTTTAGTCTCTGGTTCTGGAAAGTTCTGCAGCTGCATGAAGGCCGACTGGAACCGGCTTTATGTGGCTCTGGAGGTCAGAGGTCAGCCTGATCTCTAGTCTACAGATGGAACTACTGAAGCAGAGCATTGACTCTAGATCTAGAGCTCTAGATCTAGAGCTCTAGATCTATAGCTCTAGATCTATAGCTCTAGATCTATAGCTCTAGATCTAGAGCTCTAGATCTAGAGCTATAGATCTAGAGCTCTAGATCTATAGCTCTAGATCTATAGCTCTAGATCTATAGCTCTAGGTTGTTCCTGTTATCTCCATCCATTTTCTGATCATCTCTCTAACGGGTCGGGAGGTTCTGGTTCCTCTCCAGCTGCGTTCCGGGCGAGAGGCGGGTCACCTGGACGGGTCGCCAGTCTGTTGCAACCTGTTTATCTCCATACATTTATCTGGTCAGTGACCCCTTTGATGGGTCAAGGTCACCTGGTGACATAGTGTGGAGCTGTGTATCATCTATGTCGTCATGGTAATTGAAGTTCATTTCAGATTATAGATATAGAATCAGAGAAGTTCTGATGGGATCTCTGTGACCCGGCCCGTCAGCTCCGGTTCCGGATCTGAGTCAGGTTCTGGGCTTTGACTAGACTGCTGCAGCATCTTGGTGTTGAACTGGTTCTGAGTTCATAACCCCCCCTTCCTCAACCGGCTTGTTTTTGTTCAGTTGTAGATCTGAACATGATGTTCTGCTTCACCTCCATTTCCTGTTATACACTCACACACACACACACACACTCACACACACTCACACACACACTCACACACACTCACACACACTCACACACACTCACACACACTCACACACACTCACACACACACTCACACACACTCACACACACACTCACACACACACACTCTCACACACACACACTCACACACACACTCACACACACACACTCTCACACACACACACTCACACACACACTCACACACACACACTCACTCACACACACACTCACACACACTCACACACTCACACACACACACTCACACACACACACTCACACACTCACACACACACACACTCTCACACACACTCTGCTGATACCGGGTCAGAACAGGGCCCTCAGCAGAACCGTCCCTCAGAGGTTCTGGTCCAGACTGATGTGATGACATCACACGGCAGTGATGTCATCACATCAGAGCGGTTCTGGTCGTGTTCAGAGGTTCTGGCAGTAGTGGTCTCTGGTGGTCCGGTCTACAGCGGTTCTGATGTTTTCGGGTCGGTTCCCCTCCCCCCTGTGTCTGCGGTCGCAGCTTCTCATGCGACGGCGCTCAGGCTGAGGCGCTGGCACGCGATGCGGCGCGTCGCTCTCACTTCCTGTCAAAAGAGGAAAAAACAGCCTGCCACGGCCTGGTCGTCATGGTTACCGCCTCCCACTGACACACTTCACCTCTGAGGTCAGAGGTCACGCAGCAGCAGCAAAATTATCCTGGTGACCTTAATATTTAATATCAGCTGCAGATTCAACTATTGGTTATTATGGGATGTTTCTGGGTTACTATGGAGAATTTTCAGTAAAGTTTATTTCTAAAAGGGTTTTCAGACATGAAATCACAGAAAACATGAAACCAACATCAGAAACATCAGAAACAGTAAAAATGATCCAGATGTTTGAAAAGCTTCCAGTCAGAAATCAGAGCTGAGGGCAAAACATCCAAAACCTCCGATTGGATCAACCAGAGGACCTGGAGGACCAGAGGACCAGAGGACTAGAGGACTAGAGGACCAGAGGACCTGGAGGACTAGAGGACCAGGGGACCAGAGGACCTGGATCCTGCTGCAGGAACAACCAGGTGAGACTAAAGCAGGAATAATTTTAGTTTTTATCAGGTCAACAATCCAGAGAAACTCCAACTACTTTATAAATTATGAAATACTTATTTCTACTAAACATAAGGGAACCAATGTGGGCTTCTTTACTTTTTGTCTGTAAAAACATTTGTTGCTGAAAATGTGCTACATAAATATATTCATGCATTAATGTCATGAATTAAAAACCAAAGTTTCACTGACTGAACAGAGGAAACAAAATCAAACAAATCATTTAGTTAGTTTTACCTTTGCTGTTCTTTATTCATCAATTTGAAGAAACAGAAAAAGCCATTGAGGAGGGGCGGAGCTATGACCTGGCTGCAGGGGGCGGAGCTATGACCTGGCTGCAGGGGGCGGAGCTATGACCTGGCTGCAGGGGGCGGAGCTATGACGCTGGCTGCAGGGGGCGGAGCTATGACCTGGCTGCAGGGGGCGGAGCTATGACCTGGCTGCAGGGGGCGGAGCTATGACGCTGGCTCCTGCATTACATTGGAGACAGCAGAGGTTTTGTTGCCATGGCAGCGCCCCCTTCAGGTGAGTCGCTGTCTCTCGGTCCAGACTCGATGAGACGGCTCATGTGGGCGGGGTCAGACGCGGGGTCAGACGCGGGGTCAGACGGCTCAGCTGACACCTGGGTGGATGTCCGGCGGTTGATGGCTGTTGACTCAGCTTCGCTCTCCGTCCAGCAGGAGTCGCTGTCAGAAGCTGAGGACAGCCGGCTCTGCGTCCAGCGTCCGTTGGTCCGGACCTCGCGGCCCAGCCGGACCCCTGGCGAACCGCTGAGCGTGGCGCGGCGAGACGAGGCGGTGCTGGAGCTGAACGGCGAGTGCAGGTCCTTTTCGTGCAGCCGCAGCACAGCGCGCAACAGCGGGAAGTGTCGACCAATGGCAGCTTGATACTTTGGATGCGTGATGGCGTAGATGACGGGGTTGTGGATGGCGGAGGCCTTGGCGATGACTGCAGGCACCGAGTTCATGTAGGGGGTCAGCAGGTGGGCGTATCCGGCGGTGGCGGTCAGAGCGACGGCAGAGTAGGGCGACCAAGACACGATGAAGAGCAGAATCACTGCCAGGGCCACTCGGGCCATCCGCCACTCGCCGCGCAGCCGCTCATACGCCCTGCTGGTCTCTCCGCTGCTCAGCCTCTTCACCTCGTGAGCCGCCCGCCGCACGCCCAGAACATGAGCAGGTAGCAGCTGGCGATGACGGCCAGCGGGATGAAGAAGACAAAGACGAAGAGCAGGACGGTGTAGCTGCGCACCGGCGCCGTGAAGCTCATGTAATCCCAGCTGCAGGACGTCTGCAGGCCCTCCGGGACGTAGGCGCTCCACCCGAAGAACGGCGGCAGACTCCAGCCCAGCGAGTACAGCCACACCCCCACGGCCGCCACGCACAGCCGCCGGCGGCTCGCTCCGCCCAGCAGCGCCAGCGGCCGCGTGACGGCCAGGCAGCGGTCCCCGGCGATGGCCGTCAGCGTCATCATGGACGCGATGCCGAACAGAGCGCCGCAGAAGGCGTAGAGCTCGCAGGCAAACTCCCCGAACACCCAGCGGCGGTGCAGGCTGGCCACGAAGAAGACCGGAGATTGCGTCACCGACATCAGGAAGTCCGCCACCGCCAGGTTGACCACCAGCAGGTTGCTGGGCGTCCGCAGCGTCTTGCTACGACAGAACACGTAGATGACCAGCGCGTTGCCCAGCGCGCCCGTCACTCCCACCAGCAGGATCACACAGCCGATGATGTAATGGGCATGCGCAGGAACGTCCACGGTAGGGAACGGGCGGTGTGTGGGAACGAGCATCTGCAGGGGTTTCTGCTGATCTGTGCAGTTTCCTGCCGGGGGGCCGTCAGACGCCATCCTGCAGGGACAGCGATGGTTCCTGGACCCTGATGGTTCCTGGACCCTGATGGTTCCTGGACCCTGATGGTTCCTGATTCTGGTTGGGTCTTTGGTTCTGGCCGGGTCACTGGATCAGTCGGTGTGAACGCTCAGTGGATGTCGGCTGGATGTTTGTCTGCAGGAAGAACTCTGAGCTTTTTATGTCGCTCCATCGACTGATGAGGAGCGGGGGGTAATGGAGCGAGCGCTAATACCCCGAGGGTAAATGAACATCTGGAGCAGAGGCAGCCTGATTATTTGGAGACTAATGATGTCAGAACCCTCAGTTCTGCCGATTAGGAGGACAAATATCTAAAAACAAACTAACCAGATCCAGACTGGCTTCACATTCAGCTTTAGGAACTTCTGCAGTTGGTACTAGACCCCTTGGACGACCTCTGACCTCCAGCAGAAAGACCACATAAAGGCCTACCTGAGTCCAACCTGTCCTGCGTCAGACTGGCTGACATGTCAAAGCTCTTAGTTTAAAAGATTCAAAGAAGAAAAATCAGAAGAATCTGGAAACAGATTCATGTGAAAAATGACCAACGTTTCCATAAACAATCATGCAGTTGATAAGAATCAGACAAAACATCTGCTGTGGCTGCAGACCATTGGACCAGAACCCGACCGGGACCAGAACCCGACCGGGACCAGAGCCCGACCGGGACCAGAGCCCGACCGGGACCAGAACCCGACCGGGACCAGAACCCGACCGGGACCAGAACCGACCGGGACCAGAGCCCGACCGGGACCAGAACCCGACCGGGACCAGAACCCGACCGGGACCAGAGCCCGACCGGGACCAGAGCCCGACCGGGACCAGAGCCCGACCGGGACCAGAACCCGACCGGGACCAGAGCCCGACCGGGACACAACACAAGACGACACAGGAAGTGAATAAATACAGAAAACCCAAATCAATAGTCAATGAACTTTTGTGGGATATGATGTTGCATAATTGACATGTTTTTATGATGTTTGTGGTCAAAAGATGATGTGAATTTATGGTAATATTTTTGAAAATTCTCCAAATTGCAAAGAGAAACTGAACCTCACTGCCGCCTTGGATATTGATCCAGAAGTCTGGTTAACAAATAATCAATAATTATTTATAATTAGCAGAAATTCCTGGAAGAGTCGCAGGAAGGGACTGGACTAAGGACAGGTTGGACAGATAGTTGGACAGTGTTGCTAGGTGACAGGACAGCAGGAGGAGGACGTTAGCCTGAGGACATTAGCATCCCATTAGAAGATCGATCGGTCAATCAGCTGATGGACGATTGGGGGACACTCTGGACCGATATGAACACCGTGTCGATACGAAGTGATTCTTCTGGTTTGGAACATTTTCTAAGTTATGGAAAAGCAACTAAAGAGTTAAATTACATCTTCAGAAATCCTTCATTGTTTATTTGTATTTTAGTAAATCAAATTTCCCACATCATCTACAGGTCAGTGAACACAGCAGCTTGAGGCTGTTGCTGCACATGCTCAGTTCTGATCAGCAGGGGGCGCTAACACTTTGACCGGCTGCATAAGACTGACGTGAACCAATCTTTATGACTGTCGCAACAATTTCAAGCAAAGTTGCATTAAAAACGCCAGTTTTGCATTATTTTGTAAATAATGAGATTTTTTAAAAACTTTATTTTTATTTGTTTTTAAACATACAGATATTCACAATCAAACTTGAGGGCTTGTGCAGGTGGCAGCATTCATACTGATGACGATTCCACTTTTACAGACATTTCAAAGTAAACAGATAAAAGCTCCCAGCTTTCTGTTCGAATGACGTGGAGGAACAGAAATGAACTGTTAAAGCCTTTGATATTAAAATAATCCCATCTTTCTCAAAGTTTCTGTCCCTTCTCCTTCCTGAGCCGTATTGTAAAAGTCAACATTTCCATATCGTGGATCAGGTTTATAATATTCACCAGAAGCTTCAGGGTGGAGGTTTAGACTGGAGCCAACATTTAGTCATCGCTTTCTTGCTTGCGATCAGAAATATCTTCAACAGGTACGTGTCCCCATCACTGAGTCCCTCAGGAAGTATTCCATGGTACATAGCAAGAAATGACAAATCTATGGTTATACCCATAATTCCATATATTACTCCATTAACGTCCTTCCAGAAGGTCTTCAACTCTGGACAGTCCCGGTCCCACGCCGCAGCTATTGGACGATTAACCCTAACCCTAACCCTAACCCTAGCCCCTCCAGCACGAGGACTGGGAGCCAACCAGCTTCCATCTCTGCTTTGGCGCAAAAAAATCAGATTGGATTCTTCCAGCAGAAATGGCGCCATGTGAAATAATAATATTAGCTACCACAACTGTGCGAATGACACACAGCTCTACACTACGATGTCACCAGGTGACCTTTGACCCCATCCAATCACTGAATAAATGTTTAGAACAGATAAATGTGTGGATGTGCCAAAACTTTCTCCAGCTGAACAAAAACAAAACTGAAGTTATTATTTTTGGACCTAAAGAGGAACGATCTAGAGTTATAGATCTAGAGCTCTAGATCTATAGCTCTAGATCTATAGCTCTAGATCTATAGCTCTAGAGCTGGAGCTATAGATCTAGAGCTATAGATCTAGATTCAATGCACAGCTTCAGTTATTACAACTAAAAACTAGCGATCAGCCCGAAACCTTGGAGTAGTGATGACCTCTGACCTGAACCTTGCGAGCCACATAAAGACAGTAACAAAGTCGGCCTTCTATCACCTGAAGAACGTCTCCAGGATTAGAGGACTGATGTCTCAGCCAGATCTAGAGAAACTCATCCATGCGTTTATCTTTAGTCACATTGATTATTGTAACAGCGTCTTCACAGGCCTGTCCAACAAATCAATCCTCCAGAAGCTGCTGATCCAGAAGCTGCTGATCAGAAGCTGCTGCTCCTGTTCTCACTAGAACCAGGAAGATAGAGACATAACAGCAGTTTTAAAGTCCCTCCACTGGCTCCCTGTAGCTCAAAGAATAGATTTTAAAATACTGTTGTTAGTTTATAAATCACTGAACGGTTTAGCACCACAATACATCAAAGATCTGCTGTTGTTGTATCAACCTTCCAGACTCTCAGGTTCTGGTTCTGGTTCTGCTCTGCATCCCCAGAACCAGAACCAAGAGAGGAGAAGCAGCTTTCAGCATCTATGCACCAAAACTTTGGAACAAACTTCCAGAAAACTGTAAAACAGCAGAAACCCTGACTTCCTTTAAATCTCGACTAAAAACACACCTGATTAGAGTTTGATTTGAAATGTAATATGGAACAATGTATTGTTTATTATATGTTGCATGAGTTTGTGTTTATGATGTAAAACACTTTGAAATGCCTTGTTGCTGAAATGTGCTATACAAATACAATTTGATTGATTGATTGATTGATTGATTGATTGATTGATTGAAAGAATTTGTGGTTCACAAAGTTCCTCCAAATCTGCATCCAGGCCTCAGGTGAAATTATTGCATCAGCTGACTTCTCATTAATTGATATTAAGTATCTGTAATATTTGCCAATGATGCCGTTTGTTTTTCTACCAGCATATGAATCCATAAAAATTTGTTCTATTCCTGGCTCTGCTTCCGAATCAGGGATTTTTATTTCCTTCGTAAAGAAACTTTGGACCTGCAAATAACGGTAGAAATCTTCACTCCCCACCTCATAAATCCAACACAGATCCTCAAATTTTACTAGCTGCCCATCTTTAATTATATTACAGAATGTAATTAATTAAATATGGTGACTCCCTGTCTGGTCCATCTTCTATACTTGAGTCTATCGATGCTGGGAGGAAACGCGGGTTTTATGCGATTGGTACCTGGGGCAAACCGTCCAGACAGCAGAGGGAACAAAGAAAAATAATGACAATTTAATGCAAATGTGGGACTTTTAATTTCATTTTAATTTAGAGCAACTTAGCATGAAAAGTGTCATTATTTACCAAATGACGTTTCATGACATCAGTCATAAAGACTCGTTCATGTTCATGAATTGTCATGTCAGTTTTGTCAAATAAAGTGTCACCCAGGTGGCTAGTGGAGCTCTAGCTCCCCCTACAGGGCGCATCCTTAAAGACACAGTAACCCTCAGCTTTGTCTCCAAGACCAGGTGTGCTGGCCGGGGTCATGTGACCATGATGATGTCATCAGGGTCCTCTGGAGCTAATGCTGCTGTTTCTCAACTCTTCTGCTCTGATACCCAGGTGGGCAGGTCCTCCTAATGCGGCCTCTTCCTGCTCACCTGGAACTCTGACCCAAACCTGCCCAGGTGTGCTCCAGGTGTGTTCCAGGTGTCCCAGGTGTGTTCCAGGTGTCCCAGGTGTGTTCCAGGTGTTCCAGGTGTTTTCCAGGTGTTTTCCAGGTGTTTTCAGAAGTTACAAATTTTCACTTGATAAAAGAACTTTTTTTCACGTCTTTATTTTCATGTCCAGTAAAAGTCAGAATATTTCGTCCAGGTAAACATGCAAGCAGCACCTGGAGAGGTATCGGGCCAATCAGATTGCAGGGATCAGGGAGGGGGGGCGTGGCGTCTTCGCGTGTGTTTCAGCAGCAGCTGGCGGTCCGGGCTGGAGTACTCACACAGTTGGCATGGAAACACCTCACCTGTGTGATGGCGGCGAGCGTGGAGGTCCAGGCTCTTCTTCTGGATGCTGATGGTGATAAACATGGTCAGGTTACCATGGTAACCAGCAGGCGCAATATTCAGACAGAGGAACTAAAACACAGACGGGTATGAAGTGGGCGTGTCTAACAGGTGCCTTACCTGCTGTAGCCACAGAGCTGACAGCGATACGGCTTCACCTGGCTGTGAGTCCTGCTGTGTCTGAGCAGGGAGCTGCGGTCGATGGAGGCGTACGGACACTCGGCACACCTGAACGGCTTCTCACCTGGGCAAACACAGGAACAGCTTCCTGAGCAAAGGTCACCACCCAGGTGGGCTGCCTGCGTCGGTCCCAGGTGTGCTACCTGTGTGAGTTCTCAGGTGTTGCCTCAGCGAGGCCTTCAGCCGGCTGCTGTAGGGACAGTGAGGACAGGTGAACGGTTTCGCCGCTCCGTGGACGCCCAGGTGTCGTCTCAGAGTCAGCTTAGAGGAGAACTTCCTGTCGAGGGAAACACCTTGGTGCTCAGGTGTGGCGGCCAGGAACCCAGCTCTGGCTGTAGTGGTGAATTATGGGTAATGTAGTTACCTGTGGCACAGAGAGCAGGTGAGGCTCACCTGCTCCTCATTCCTGATTGGTGAGACGACCTGGGACGAACCAGACTGGCACAAACTGGTTAGACTGGGAACAGAGCTGCTCGGATCACATGCTTTCTGATTGGCTGTTGGCCCGGGGAGATTCAGAGGTCGACCAATAGGAGACGCTCTGCTGCCAAAACAAAACTCAAAGTTTTCAGGATTAGATTTGAAACGAGATGAAACTCAATAAGGTTTTATGCTCCACCCTAAACCATCTGCTCCACCCTAAACCATCTGCTCCACCCTAAACCATCTGCTCCACCCTAAACCATCTGCTCCACCCTAAACCATCTGCTCCACCCTAAACCATCTGCTCCAGACACCTCTTGATGTTAAATGACTCACCCATCAGGAAGCTCCGCCCTCTTTGTGTCTTGTGGTGCAGTCAGCCGGGCCCTCCACCTGTCTGAAGGCCAATCGGAACGCTGAGCAGCCAAAGATCCTCCACCCGTCCTGCTGCTCCTCCACTTCCTCCTCCTTCCTCCTGCAGCGCCTCCTGCAGTGCGGCTCCAGCGCCTCCCAGCTGTCGGCAGTTCGGCCGCAGCGGCTGCAGCCGAAGCCGCCGGCGGCTCGGTGCGACCGGACGTGGACGTCCAGCAGGCGTTCTGACGGGAGCGTCAGGGACAGAGGGGACACGGCAACCGGCCTGGGGGCGGAGCCTCGCCTGCCCTCTGGTCTCGGCCGTCGGCGGGCGGAGGTCTGACGGAGGAGATGCGACAGAGTCCCAGGGTCATGAGGTGGGCGGACTGGGCGGACTGGTCCGTCTGCTCCAGGGTGGAGGGAGGCGTGGCGGGACAGGACAGCTCCACTGGCGCCCCCTTCAGGGGGAACATGGAGGACCCCTCAAACAGAGTGCTGACCTGCAGCACCGCAGAAGAAGAAGGTCCAACATGGCCGTGTTACCTCACAGGTGTGTGTGTGAGTGTGTGTGTGTGTGTGTTACCTCACAGGTGTGTGTATGAGTGTGTGTGTGTGTTACCTCACAGGTGTGTGTGTGTGTGAGTGTGTGTGTGTTACCTCACAGGTGTGTGTGAGTGTGTGTGTGTTACCTCACAGGTGTGTGTGTGTGTGTGTTACCTCACAGGTGTGTGTATGAGTGTGTGTGTGTTACCTCACAGGTGTGTGTGAGTGTGTGTGTGTGTGTGTTACCTCACAGGTGTGTGTGTTTGTGTGTTACCTCACAGGTGTGTGCCACCTGAAGCCCCTCCTCTGTGCTGATGTCACAGGTGGGCGGGCTCATGCCGCCCAGCATGTCGTAGAGCAGGAAGTCCTCGTCTTCGTTGCTGTGCTTGGACTCTCCGTCCAGACTCAGCCGGTAGGGCGACTCTGGCTCCGCCTCCTCCTGGCTCACCTGCTGACCGTCGGGTCCGGTCAGGCAGGTCAGGGCGGCGGGGTGGTGGCGCAGCAGAAGGTGGCTGCCGATGGCCGCCTTCAGGCCACAGGTGAACTGACACACCTTGCAGCGGTAGAGCTCCACCAGGAAGGACTCCACCTGCGACAGACCCTCCACCTGCTGGCAGTACAGGCTGGAGCTCATGGCTCCGCCCATCACCTGCAGAGTCACCGGGCTGATGTCACTGTAGCGCTGCGCCACCCACGACATCACTGCCGCCGCCGCTCTCTGATTGGCTGCCTGCGGTCATCTGGAGATGATTAAAGCACGTCAGAACCAGAAGCTGGACCAGAGTCAGAACCAGAACCTGCCTGGTCCTGCCTTCACAATCGTCAGGGGTCAAACTCCAGAAGATCCCAGAGCAGATGCTAAAGGTGCCCACAGTGCCCCCTGCAGAGCGCTGTGGTTCTGGTCCTGATCCTCCAGAACCTCTCATGCAGGCGGGTCCAAACGTTTTATTGAGGGCCAAATACAGACAAACAAGCAAAGGGCCACAGACACTAGAGGGTGACATTCAGTCTGTCTCCACTAGGTGGAGCTTAGCGCTCAGGGCTTTCATGCGCATGCAGCTGTTCTTTCCTTCTAGGTTCTTGTTCAGTGGATCCAGATCAACTAAAATGCCAGTTCTGCAGCTACAGGGTCACTTAGTTCATGAAAAAATCAAAAGCACTCTTCTCTTTTAAAACTGGTCGATTTCTGATGTCAGCGCATAAAAGCGCTGCAGCAGCACATCAGAGTGCAAGAACATCCCCGTCTTCAGCGTCAGATTGGAGAGCCTGAAAATCTTTGTGGGTCATTCCTGGAGCTTGAAATATGTTGACAGTTTTAATAAGAGTTCATCACATCGCTCAGCTGGACAGTGTTGGCACACACTAACCCTAACACTAACCCTAACCCTGGCACACAGCGCTTCTTGGTGGATTATACAGTTCATCCTAACAGCCTCACCTCTGCTCTCTTTTACCTTTGCGCTCGCCCGTCATGACCGGAGTCCATCTGTTGTTACTCCGCAGAGCTTGTCCCAATTAAGCCCCATCTTTTCAGCTGCCTGTATGCAGCTGCGCAGTGTCTGTGGCGTCTGAGCTCTCATCTCATGCTATCCAGTAAAAATCAAAAGCACAAGTTTTGTCTCTCAGATGAAGTTTCAGGGCAGCTGACAAGTCTTCTATTCTCCGCACGACTGTGTTTCTGAATGAGCTCACATTGTTGAAATCAGACACTGTTGTTGGACACATTATGTGTGCCTTTGATGAGGAACTGCTTTATGAAATCACCGTCTGAAAACGGTTTGACGTGCTGGGCAATAAGTTTAGCGACTTCATAACTCGCTGTTGTGGCGTTTCCTGTATTTTATTAGCACAAAAAACCTGCTGTTGAGCTAACAGGCTAGCTGCCATTTGCTTGACTTTCTGTGTTTCCAGTGTGCGATGTGTTGCTCTATGTTTGGTCTCATTATACTCTTTCATCACAGCAACATATTCATTGCAAATCAAAGTCCGTTAATTTCTTTGAAAAAGTTAATCTTCCCACCGTATTTGAAATGTCCTCCACTCACTTGCTATTTTGCGTTTCTTCGGTGTTGCCATTTCTGGTGACTCAGTAAAAGTTTTCCTTGCTTAATGTTATTTCTGTGGCTGGCTCCATCTAGTGTTGAAACTGAGAAGTGCAACAGAGTTGAGCTCAAGCTTTTTCCATATTCAGTTATATTTTCAGAGTTTGCTATGGGCCAATAGAAACTGGTCCGCGGGCCGCAGTTGGCCCGCAGGCCGTAGCTTGGACACCCCTGATCTAATGAATCCTCAGATTGGATTTCCTGTTGATGATGATATACGTTTATTTTGTGGCGGTGATATTGAACATCTTCTCTATGAATGTGTGTAAAGTTTTCTGTTATCATGTTCATTACTGGTTTTTCCCTAATATTCCAAACTTACCTGAATTTCCTAAGAGAGACATTATTATTATTATTGGGACTAAAAATAAATATGAAAGGCAACTAAATGTCATAATTTTCTCCAGCTGAACAGAAACAAAACTGAAGTCATTATTTTGGACCTAAAGAGGAACAATCTAGAGCTATAGATCTAGAGTCAATGCTCAGCTTCAGTTATTAGAACTAAAAACTAGAGATTTTATCAACCTTCCAGACTTTCAGGTTCTGGTTCTGGTTCTGGTTCTGCTCTGCATCCAGAACCAGAACCAAGAAGCAGCTTTCAGCATCTATGCACCAAACATCTGGAACAAACTTCCAGAAAACTGTAAAACAGCAGAAACCCTGACTTCCTTTAAATCTCAACTAAAAACCCAGCTGATTAGTTTGATTTGAAAAGTAATCAATTAAAAATGTAATGATGGAACTTGACTTAATATATTGTTGATTCTATGTTGCAGGACTTTGTGTTTATGATGTAAAGCATTTTGAAATGCCTTGCTGCTGAAATGAGCTTTACAAATCAAATTTGATTGATTGATTGATTGATTACTATCCAGGGCAAGTTTTCATTCATAAATGTGGTTTTCTTAAACCATCTTGAGGAACTCTGTCGCCTCTTCTCATCTCTAAAATTCAAGGCCAAACAATCTGAAACTCGATGTGGTGTTTTGTTCTCTGTCCGTATGGATCAGCCTGGTTCGGCTTCTTCGGGTTTATCAGGTCTGTGTTCATCTGATGCTGAGACATGTTTGTTGAATATGATGGTAATAAAAAAATAAATAAAAAAATGTCAGTCAGGTTCTGCCGGTGACCCCTGACCCTCCCGCTGACCGAGACTCAGAAAGGCTGCTGCAGTTTATCATAAAACTTTGATTTAATAATCATATAATTCAGTTTTCATCCTTTAAGGAGCCATTTTATGACAGATTCTATAAAAGGAAATCGCATGTTTGGTTTTGATTCATATTTTTTTCTAGTATTTACTTTCACCAAACTTAATAAAACATGTTTTTGTTAGTGAAGCTGTTGGATCAGTCTGGGATATGAAGGATCTATTTACTTCAGCGGAGGCGCCGAGTTACCGAGCGGTGATCCGCCGGTGCATTGATATGAAATCAAGTCCCGATCAACCCTTCATTCATTCTGGAACAATCAGCTCAGCAGAAAATGAACTTTGACTTATGATTTATGACAGAGTGATCATCTCTCCGGGATGAAGATCTCTGGTCTGCTGCATTAACAGGCAACGGTTCTGGTTCTGGATCCCGGTGAACAGAACCAGGCCGATCTCAGTCCGACCCGGTCCAGGATCCTGACGGACCCCTGGCTCGGTGCCGGACCTGCAGCTCCGAGTTCCGGTTCGGCCCGGAAATGGGTCTGCTGTTACCATGGACACAAAGGTGGACTCACCTGCTGCGATCCGGTTCTGGAGCGTCCCGGTTCCGATCCGGATACAGAGGAACGAGTTAGATCGAAACCGGAAGCTGCGCAGACCAGCTGCGCAAGGAATCCAGTTTTTTTTTTACACAAAACTTTATTGAACTTTTTTTAAAAAAATATTTTGTGAACGTTATTATATAAAGTACAGAAAATATTATATATATGTATACATTGAATTATTATGACGTAATAATATGAGCTGAAGAAGAATTTTAACAAATTTATTAAAATAACTGAGTCTTTCAGGTTCTATCAGGACCAGAACCGGATCTGAAAAAAAACAGAACGTGTCTGGATCAGAACCAGAGCAATCAGCCAATCAGAGCACAGCCCAGTGGAGCCTTGAAGTAACACAAGGAGAAAGACAGGAGTCAGTTTGTCCTGCAGCCTCCTGACCCCAGAAACAGCTCAGCATGACCCCAGCCAGCTGCAGCACCACCCCAGCCAGCTGCAGCACGACCCCAGCCAGCTGCAGCACGACCCCAGCCAGCTGCAGCACGACCCCAGCCAGCTGCAGCATGGACCGAGCAGAACCTCCCCTGGATCTTTCCATGTGATGATATGAGGTTATAACCTGGATTATCTGGAAGCCGCGAAGCTAAAACAGCAGAAATGTGATTTGTGTTTTTGGGCTCCATCACACCGGGCTGTGCTGCCTGCTGGTCATCTCCTCTTACTGCTCAATAAAGTTCTGACCCGGTTAATCTGAGGGATTAGCTGCCTCAGCAGATTAGCTGCTCATCTGCTGCAGTCGACATGGCGGCCCAGAGGAGCTCGGTTCTGCTCGCAGGTACGTCCTCCACTCACCTCACTGGTTCTGGTTCTGGACTGCCCGGCTGACAGAATCAGAACCAAA